CCTTCCGTAAATTCAATGCTGTTTCATGAAAAAAGTTCTTAGAGAGCTCGGAGACGTCTCATTTTGTCCAGAAATCTTTGCTCTATTTGAATAAACTAATGATAAAAAGTTCAATTATATTTGTACATAAGAAAGTCAATAAATACACAGGGGGTAAGTTTTTTTTGGATCACCCTATATATGCCTTTTCCCATGATTTTTTTCATGCTTTTGGCATAAAACTTTTTAGTTTTATGCTAGATTTAGTTTTCGCAACCAAGATCATTTGCATGCCTTTTTTACGAAATTTTGTTAACCAAGATCAAAAGCATGTTATTTCTGTGATCATTTCTTGGCTCATTTTTAATTGAGATCACTTTTTATAATTAACGAAATAAAAATGATCTCAGTTTGGAAATAGCATATTCTATCAATTTTGAAAAGTGATCTCAGTATGGAAAACGAGCTTGTAGCTCCTGTTTTGATAAAACATAGATTGCTAAATTGTATATAATACATAGGGTGAAGTGAAAGTCTAGAACATTGTATTCAAATGTCTACGTTAAACAAAAGTTTTTTCGTGTATCATACATTCATTTTAAATGTGTTTTATTTTGTAATAATCTAGCCCTTTATCCAGTTTGGGGTTTTCCATCACCAACATCATTACAAATTCTCAGTGCTAATCCACACTGGAATGCAGATGGTACATTTAGAACGTCACCAAAACTATTTTATCAAAATTAGGGTATTCATACATAGGATGAAATCAGCATGAAGTCAGTTGTTTTCTGCTGCGTTACCTGATAAAGCAGAGATGTCGTATCAGGTACTATTAAATGCACTAACAACTAGTTTAAGAATCCATATTTTAATAGCTACAAGCTACAAAGTTTTCACTTCACTCTATGTATTATATACAATTTTTATCATATACAATTTAGGAATGTATATTTTATTTGAATAATTATCATATAAATAGTTGACTGACTGAATGTTTAAAAAAAGACTTTTTAATTGAACAAGATTGAGTTGCTGAACAGTGCTTTTTCGTATTCAGCACACGCGATAACCCAGAAGATTTTCCATGTGTGGTGACTGATACTTTCAAAAGTTTAGGAAAAGTTTTCAAACTAATATTATTTTCCCATGAAAATTTTTTTGCGCCATTTTGTTTCAAAATTTCTTCTAAACATTCGAAAATACCCGTCACCAAAAATAGAAAATCTTCTGAGTTATCGCGCGTGCTGGATACGAAAAAGTACTTTCCAACAACTCAAAATCAACTTTATTTTGTTGTTCTGGTGATACGGTTGTTATTTGTCGATTAGTTGATAACTATTAGCGTTGTCATTGATGGCAATGATGCCTAAGCCATCTTGTTCGAAGAGCAAGCATGGTTCTAGAGTTCTGAAAGATAACTACTCTTTTTCGACCTCAGCCTTTCATCATCAGGAGGTTTATAAAAACTCAGTCGACTGACAATCGCTTCTGCCTACACTCATTCAATGTTAATTATAAACAGAGGTAAAATACATGACAATAAAACGAAATACTAGTACAAGGACAATAAAATAGAATGAAAAAAAGTTTACATAGCTTAATCATTTCTTTGCAAGCCTCCATTATCATTCAGTTTCTTTACTCAAAGATTAGAAACTTAATTTCTCGGATGGTGTATAGAAGTGGCGACACTATCAACGCGTTATTTATACTCTTAATAATTTATACTAATATTATAAACTTTAATACCAATTTTATACAATCAGCAGACCAATGTGTTTCAAACGCGTATTATTCTTAAAAAGAATTTTTTCATGATTGGGGTCCTCACTTAGAACAGTTACGTATTGAACATGGTTAATGGACGTGTAAAATACTTCATCATACAATACCTAATTTCGTCGGATTTGAGATTTATCCTTCAATCCAATTGTTTGTAGAATAATGTCTGCTTCTGCTATGCACTCATCGGTATCATTAGTGGATTATTACAATACAAAAGTAAACGTGGACAAGATCAATCCACTTATTAGGTCAGCTTACAATACACCAGATTTTGAGGTAAAGAAATGAAATTCGACTACATCTTTAACTTTTCTAGCAGAAACCGATGATAAAACGGTGTCGTTAACGGTTAACGCACCGTTAGCTGCTGATTAACGGATTGTAAGCGTCTTGTTAAAGCACCATTATTAAGTCGCCAAAAGTGTTTCCACACCGTTTAACTGGTGCCGCTTTACGATCAAAAAACTCTTTTATTCAGATTGTTTTTCCACTGTTACCGGACCATTCTTATGCCGCTTTTACGTCATTAACGGGCCGTTTTTGGGCAACCGTTAACAGACCAGTATAAGCGAACTGAGACGGCCTTGGTAGGTGTTCGTGAACTGATTCTCTATTTTATGCAGAGTTATTTTCTATTCATAATGAGACTGTGAACTTTTAACGATCTGGAAAAGGCTATTGCATTTCTGGAAAAGGCTATTGCATTTTTCAAGTTAAAATGAGTGAGATCCAGAAATTATTTGAATAGAAAACCGTCGCAGTATATTGGCATGGATACATGTAGAAAAAAATCTGTCGCGTGCACTTTTTCGGTTTTAATCTTTTAAGTTCCGAATTTTTCTGGTTAATCCAATTTGATGAAACACGGTATAAACTATATAAAAAGGCATTTATAGGACCTTTATTTCGTTACTTATGCATATGCATTTGATGATAACCCTAGAGAACGTACTTGATGCAAGTATTTGATTACTTGCTAAGTACTTGTCAATGATCGAAATACTCACCTTATTGCTAAGAAGTACTTTCTGAAAGTACTTGGCAAGGACGGACAAGTGCTTACAAGTAAATTTACTTCTGGAAAAAAGGCAATTACCGGTTTCATTACGCAGACAAAGTACTTGATCCAAGTACGTTCTCTAGGGACAAAACAATTTTTTACGCAAATATCGTGAATAAAATAGAGTTATACACACTTCCTACGATTTGATTAGACTCTCGTCAGGCAAGGACGACGCAACAATAAAATTATTAAGATTATGTATGACAAAAGTTCTTGAAGATTATTCAAAACTGTTGAAATTTAATAGTGATAAGCGTACTTATCACTGCGACTTAAAGGATAACTGATGAAAGTTTTCGAAAATTTATGCAGTGCTTTCTTTCTTACATAATCTGTTGGAATTATGGAATTCGAAATGAAACCAGGACGCTGTAGTGGTACACTACAACGATAAAGTGCACTAGGCAGTTTTTTATTCTATCTCCCCATCTATACCATACATTTTACGAAAAAAACAACTAACTGGAAGTGATCAATCTAGTTTCGACCATCGGCGAATATGTCGCTATAAAACACATTAAGTGATCTCAAAAACTGAGCCTAGATGCAGAGAGGTTATTCTGTTGAAATAAATAGAAACTATTGTGTCTGTCTCCTATTCTATTTAGGCATACAAGAATAATCTCATCTCAAATTTGGACGTAAAACCAAATGAAGATACATTTTTAAAGACATTAGAACAAACTAGAAAAGAACAACGTCAACAACTAGCCAAAACTGAACATGAGTATTATCAACTTCGAGATCATGATGATCATGAGCGACCATACTCTAATCACTATTTGCAAGAACAGCATCAAACAGCTCAACCATACGTCATTCCCTATTATGAAGAAACATCATCGACAACAACAGCAGCAAACAATATTCTTAGAGCAAAACCACCATTACCCGATCGATCTCGAAATAATATTTTATCACCAAAACAAAGTAGACGATCTCCATCACCGGTTTTTACCACCGAAGATCAAAGTAATCCTATCGTTGGTTTTAATCAACATCGATCGCATATCATCTTGAGACACGACGATGATCAATCTTATTGTCCACATCGGACAAAAAGTCCAGTTAATTATTTAGCTACAAATTCAAATAATCTAAAAAAGCAAATACATACAATGTGGGACGAATTTGAATTAGATGATTATCTAGACGATATTGAGTAAGAATCTTCTTTACGGACAGAAACAAATGTATTAACTATTTCTTCATTTATTGAAAGTAGTAACTGTATGGTTTTGTTTTAGTAATGAAAAACGACGTTCTCGTCCACCAAGTGCGCCCGCTTCTTCGTCTTGGGCTGGCCGTGTAACTGTGCCTGAACCATTTAACATTACGAATAGTATGACCATTGATAATGTTCATCGACGAAAATGTATGCATGAAATTGAAGCAGATAAAATACAAAAAGAAGTTGATGATGAAATTATTTTGAGTCGATCATTTAAAGGTACTATTTATTCTAAAAAGTTAATTTTATAATCTAAAATTCTGTCGTTTTTATTTTTATTTTAAGCAAATCCGGTACCATCACACGTCGGTTTACCATTATACGAACAATTAAAAGAAGAACAACGTCTTCGTCGAGAAAATGTTCGATATATGACAAAAGAATATTTAAATTCAATATCAAAACCATTTGCATTTGAATCAAGAGAAAAAACAAAATCATTACTGCGACGACATTCATTTTCAGGTGATACACGAGTCACTAAAGAACAATCAAATTTTAAGGCAAAACCATTACCAGATTTTTATTATAAAACAAGCAAAGATTTAGAACAGTAAGTGAATAATTTGATTTATGAAGAGAAATATCGTCTATGTATGTCAACAGAAGTTAAAGAAATTGAACAACATGTCTCTATATTGTTTAGAATGAAAGAGCAAAATTTATATCGTCATATTAAAAAACAGATGCGTGCTAAAGAATTATTACGTCAATCAAAATTACCGAATAATATGCACGAACGTCAACAAAAATATAAACATCAACGTTCATCAAGTGCAAATGATTTATCACGTAAATTCAATCAATTGGGTCGTGAAGAATATACATTTAAACCGAAAACAAATGGTTATTATATACCGGACTACGATAAAATTCATAGACAATTCATATCTGACATGGAATCATCGAAACAAATGCGTTCACCAACAAAATGTAAGCCATTTTTATTGTATACAAATTTAATACCATCAAAAAAAGAAAAAATCCTTAATGATATAAAAAAAGATGAACAATTTCGTCGTTCACAAACTTTTCAAATAAAAGGTAAACAAATTAGACGTGCATCAACAGCAAATAATCCTGATAGAAATACTACAATAAAAAGTCAAACATATGGTCTTAATGATGGTGGACTGTATTCTTCTGTTAATATGAGTGTAAATAAATCGATATCATTACAACAAGATTCAATACCAACAAAAATGACAGAATCACAACGTTTAAGAGAATCGGTTAATCGAAAAAAACGTTATGATGATGAAGCAAAAGAATTATTTGAACAATCATTTCAACAAACACGTTCAGCAAAAGAAAGACGTTTAAGAGAAAAAATACGTGAAAAAGCAAAATTATATGATCGTTCATTAATTCATAAAACACAAAATGAACAAAAAGTAAGCAAAATAGTAATAATAAATATAAAAATAGTTCTACAAAAATCGTTGATAAAATATATATATATATTTGTATATGTTTAATTAACTCGATTGACTTTTATTTTCTTCTTCTTCTTCTTCTAGATGCGTAAATTACGTCAATCGATGCGTCAAAGTAGCTCTAATTATGCTGAACAATTAGATAAAATTCAAGAACGTATTGAACGACGACCACTTCTTCTTGAACAACAAGCACAAGCAAAAGCACTCAGAGAAGTTGAAAAGAAGATTCAACATGCAATGAAAGTTGCTGGTATAACTGAAAAAGATTTAATGAGACAAAGTATTAATCCACCAAATGTTAAAGTAACAGATGGTAGTAGAACAAGAATTGATTATTCGTAATTAATAGATCAAATCTTCTACGCAATAATAGAAGAAATAATTAGATACATTTTTATACTAGGTTCGCTGTGTTTTATTTTGTGTGTTTGTTTCACTTATTCACAAACAGTGAGTTTTTTTTTTTTTTGATACTTCACATAAACATGTCTGATATATGTGAAACAAATGGTTTTTTTTTTTTTATCGACAACAAATAAAAAGTAAATACAAAATCTATACTATTTAGTTTTTTGGAATTGACTACTGTTGTATACGTACATGAAAGTTTAATATGTAGTCGCTTCCAATCATATGGTACAGTAGTAACTGCTTTAGGAAAATAAACGTTTCTGTTAATAGTGCATTAGTTCAATTCGTGTCTGACATACTGCAAGGCTACAAACGAAATTTCTTCTTTTTTAAATCACGATTTTATACAAATATATAAAGTGGAATACGATGACAAGTTGATAACAAGTCTCCAACATTGCAAGAACAATTGTGTCGAGCAATACAAACATATTATTTGTTGTACAATGCCATTAAAAACTATTGAAATAAAAGCTTAATAAAAAAAAGTGAACTTTTTAATGAATCTTGCAGAGGCTAATGAAACACAATACATTGAGTATTTGTGGTCTCGTTTAGACATTTTTAATAACAGATATCTTTCACAATTTGACTCACAAATATATCAGCCTAAAAGAAAGAAGGCTACTGGTACACATCGCCGAAAACCGCTTGACTCTCGAAACCTAGAAGATTGAAAAATACTAGAAAAAAAAAAGATTGTTCGTATTCCTCATTCAATCGATTCATCAATTTTCCCTACTAGTCATATTTATTTTTGAATTTATCTGCTATGGATTGATAAAAATTTCAAAAATACTCAAAGAAATGGTATAGTTTAGTTTTAAATAGTGTCATCTAATCGATGATCTTTCAACAGTTGTACGATTGTCTAAATCTGAAGATGTTATGATACATTGAGAGGTTTATCACTGTATGAAAATGAAAATCACATGTGATACATTCTCACAGAGTTTGTATAACAAAAAACAAATATTTTAACTAGATTATGTACATCAGTCTCAAATAGCAACAGTAACAGTTCGAGAAAATCAAAGTTCAATATTGACAGTAACAAAGAAGTCATTACTATTATTTTGCAATTTATTCATATTTGTTTTAGAGTACCATAGAATTTAATTGAGTTTATCGTGATAGGTTTTTTTACTGTCTTGATTTTTGAAAAAAATAACTAAAAAAAAGGAATAAATTATTTTTTCACAGATTGTATGAGTATGTCTTTGATGGTGTAATCATAATCCAACTGCTCAAAAGTAAAATGAAACTGAGTGCCTTAGGGGTCCCCCTCCTCTTTTTCGACCCTCTTGGAAACCGAGAAAGCGGTTATCGGATCGAGGCGAAATTTATATAGAAGATAGTACATTGAAAAAGAAAAGCGATGTATTTTTTCACCTTTTCTGATGTGCTTTTCTATGGGTTTTCCAGAAAATACAATTTTTATACTTTGTAAGCAGTTCATTCTCACATGAGTTGTCATTGCTAGCAATGAACAATTTTCTATGTTTAACGACAAAACCATTTCTGTCTTCTAACTTCTCAAAATACTCTCACCATTAATTGAGCATGTTCAAGTTATTATAGAGTCTGTAATACAAGCACAAATACCAAATAACTACTTTATAAAACAAACACAGTTAATCATACAGTCAAACCTTCTACGACCTCTCTTTTTTGAAAAAAACAAATTCCACCTTGAGTCACGTGTCGGTAAATGTGACAGAAATATGACGTATATTATCACGACTCCGTAGTCAAAAATCACCAGGTCTTGACAATAAAGCAAATCTAATATTAAATAAATGCAAAGGCACTCTAGTACTTCCCCTTGCAAATCTAGTGAATTATTCATCAGATAATAGTTATGTCCCACTAATGATAAGCCTATATTCAAAAAAGAAGATTTGCCAGTAAAATCTAATTATAGGCTGATCTCCTTTTTAAGTAATTTATCGAAAATACTTGGAAGAGTTGTACATTACAGGCTAGAAAAAACAGTCTATTCAATTTTAATCCTTCATATTTTGGAATATGAAAAAGAGAAGATAGACATTTTGTAGCCCTTGACGCGCTCTATCAACGAGTTGTGAGTAAAACTCTTCATAATCACAAGCGGTTCGAGCAGAATTTTTTTCTTTTATCGTTTTAATTTAAAATCATCGTATCCAAACTATAGTTTTGGGGTGGTTAAGAAAACGCTTGTAACTTGACCAAAATCAAACGTTTTGAGGTTAGCTTCGTTTTATCTTAGAACAATAATTTTTCTATTACATCCAAACAGAGAAAGTTCAATAGCTCGATCTCTTTTTCCGTCCTAAGGCGAAAAAGTCAAATTTTCTCTTTTTTTAGTGAATTTTAGTTAAATCGTCTTTTGTGTTATAAAAACATGTTTACAGCGAATTTGTGATACATGAAAAGAAAGATGACACTTTTCGGGATACGAGAAAATACATTTTGATCCAATTTTGACATATAGCACTGTGTTCAAAATAAATTTGTTTTTGTTGTCTTTTGGTTTGACAATGGAGATTGAAATTTTGCAGTATTTTCTCTATATTCTTTTATTTTTACAGTATATAAAAACATGTTCAATATGATTTTTGTAGAGAATGAAACAGCGAATCTTTTAAAAAAACTTTAAGTCTATGCGATTAAAAATGAAAAAGTTATTTGAAAAATAATATATAAACTCCATTATAAAATCGGCTCAAACTTTTACCCCAGATACTTTAGACCCTATCTCAGGATGAAAATTTTTCTTAAGCGGTTTCGATCAGGCCATTTTCTCGAGGGATCGTAGTATGACCAGATAAAAGCTGGAGTTTTCTGGAAAACCCATAGAAGAGCACGTCAGAAAAGGTAAAAAAATACATCGCTTTTCTTTTTCAATGTACTATCTCCTATATAAATTTCGCCTCGATCCGATAACCGCTTTCTTGGTTTCCAAGAGGATCGAAAAAGAGGAAGGAGACCCTTAAGGTACTCAGTTTCATTTTACTTTTGAGCAGTTGGATTATGATTACACCATCAAAAACATGCTCATACAATCTGTGAAAAAATAATTTATTCCTTTTTGTAGAGAATGAAACAGTGTTCAATATGATTTTTGTAGAGCGAATCTTTAAAAAAAACTTTAAGTCTATGCGATTAAAAATGAAAAAGTTATTTGAAAAATACGGAATAAAATATCCAATAATATTATAGTTAGTTTATTTTCAAAAAAGATAAAACATAGATGGTAGAATTTTAGCATCATTCACTGCTTGATTATTGTTTTAGTTTATCGTTACAAAAACTAGTTCATCGAAGTACAAATATTGATACAACTCAAAATTGAGTAACTTACATGACTATAGTTTTTCAATAGAGCTATAAATAGAACAGGTAACCAGAGTTGCCAGATGCTTAGGTCAGAAAAGCGGAAACGTATTTTCACCAAACGCAAAGGTGTATCAAAAAACAAATTTTTTAGCGCTTTATGGTGGCTCCACTTAAGAAAAACAATAGAAGTACAAAACGTCATTTAAATTCCGATTTGAATCGATATTGGCTTTTTGTGAATGCGCGTTTTTGATCAGCTATCATAAATTTTAAGAGTTATGTATGGCAGGATAAAATTTAATTCAAAACTCCCTCACCTACGACAGCACTTCATGGTTAAGATTTTCTGACCGAGTTGGCTTCCTTGGGGATTTAATATTTTACCATCTTTCAGCAGCACTTGAGACAAGCTAATGTTTTTCTATTACCGCTCACTTCCGGGGAAAATTTCTGATTTAGTTTCTAAAATAGTGCGTATCTGTTTTATAAAAGTTGCAAAAGCATTGTTTTGACAGATCATTCAGCCGCCGAAGGTGGAAAAATTTTTATGAGAAAATGTAAAAATCTTCATTGCAAGAAAACAAGCAAAAGCAAAAAATCCTCGAAAAGCGGATAAATTGCAGACAGTGGACACTTGGCGGAAAAAACTACAAAAAGCGGAATTTGTCCGCAAAATGCAGACTATCTGGCAACTCTGCAGATAACAGACCTAATATTAAAAGCGGTCACGTGTATAGCGTTAACATTATATTTTACTTACTATCACTAAATTAAAACTAGATTGCAATTATGCTGCGCACAACTTGCGATGTTCGCATACTCTGTCTCTGCTGACAGGTGTCTGCAAATTTCCATTGCACCTGCGGTTTTCTGTTTCAACTGTCTTAAAAGAGATAATTAACTCAAGACTTAACAAAATTGACACCCTTCAAACAATGCACTAATTTGAAACTAAGATTATCTCCTATAATTACACAGCAATTCATTTTATATATCAGTGCATTGATCATCTCTAAACTATCAGTGCACACGTAGAGGTTAGCAATAACAGATGACTCATGTATAATATCAATCAAACATATACTTTACAAACAAAAAGAAAGAACGAAAGATTCTTCTGACGAACAAACGGCGCTGGATAACTGATGCTGATGAACTTTGAAAAACTTCTAAGTCTATAACATATTTTTCTTTCACTTGTGCAGTTTATGGTACCGAATCTGGACTTTTATTTTGAGAAAAGAACATGCACTGGTCAATCTTTACTAACCAGAGAATGTCCTCTCGTTTTCAGAAGTTTCCTTCAGTAGTTCTCTAGACCATGATGTGCACATTTTGCAAAAAAAAAGATGATCAAAGAAAATCCATGAACGATTGCATAATGTCTGTCGACATTAAAACACAAACATATGTACTAAAGTGATTTTGTGATTGTAGCATCAATTATTGTTAACATCCAATATTACATTTTAACCTGATCAATTATTTTCCTTTGCTCATCGAATGGAAAAAAGTTGGCTATTTATTTATACATTTTAGACGTCAGAAAAATGAATACAATATTGTATTAGAC